CATGCTTTGGTGCTGTGCAGAAATAGAGTGGTTGGTTTTGGAAGCATTACTTTCTGCTTTTCAGAAAAACAAGGACAACTTCTGGTACATAAGTTATTTCCACAAGGGTTTAGTTTAGCCTTGCAAAGTCCTATGTGCTTTCTGGAAAAGAGAATACTTGGTTGTTTTGTTTTGTTTTGTTTTGTTTTACTGGAGAGGGAAATACTATTTTTATAAAGAGATATAGGATAAAAGGCAAATGACAAGATTTTGAGTCATTAAGATTTTTCAAGACAGGTTTCCAAAACTAGGCTAATAATTCCTCCTGGGTTATCTTTTGTTCAAAAGGTCAAAGGCCAGGGTCAAAGGCCTTCATGAGCCTTGATGGCCCATCTGGCTAGCCTGGTTAAGGTTTCTGAAGCCAATAACACTCCAGGGAGTGATGGAACTTGCATCACATATTTATCTCCATGCAACCATTATTATTGCATTTATTGGTCCTTTTGGATTCTTATGCCATTGCCCTAGGCCCTATCCTTCTACCCCTGAAGTGATTAAGAATTCCAACTGTTTTGGTTTTTCCTCTTTATTGTTTTTCTATGTGAGCGTTGGTGTTTTGTACAGTTCCAGATTTACAACAGTAGAACTTACTAGAGTTCAGTTATCCTTAGAAATGGCATACTCAGTACATGCTTCCTTGTACATCCAGAGTGCCTCCAGCATGTTCTCAAGGAACCATCTTCAGTTATCCTGTCTGCTGAGACTGTTAGGAGACATCCGAGTCAATGTCTATTATTGTGATCACAACACTTTATAAATGAAAAACATGAACAAATGTACTTGGGAGATTTTTCAGAAGTGCAAATTAAAGTAACAGAAGTACTTTTGACAATTTTACTCATAATTTATTTAAGGCTTTGAAAATCCTACTTTTATTTAAAGTAGGCAAAAACCACAACTCTTTTTTTATTAATAGCATTATTAAGAATGAATTTGCAGTATGAGAGTCTCAAAGAACTTTGCAAATGTAAATGGATTAATCCTCACAATATGGGTATTAGAAACCAATGTTAACTCCAATTTACTGAATGGAGAAATGAGATACAGCAAGGTGATACAAATTCCTGCAGATTACACACATCTCCCAATTTTCAACCTTGTTCTCTGAACACAATGCTGCTTTTCTTTCTTTCCCACCCCTTTCAGTCCTGTTCCCTTGTACTCGGGTTTTGTTGTTGTTGCTGTTGTTTATAGCTTTTTCTGTTTTGGGATACATGCTGGTTGTCTTCTCCAGGCACCAAAAAACCTTAGTTTAGTCATGGGCATGGCTCTCTTTTATACTGAAGTACCTTACATTGCTGTAACAGTATAAAGAGACCTTAAAGGATATGGAAATATGAACTGTGTCATTTTTAAAGATCCTGTTACATTGCTGGAGCCACATAAATTTGCCTAGGTGAATCAGGCCATCATGTTTTCTACAGTGGTGGCCAAAAAGAGATTTGTGATGTATATTCTCCTTATATCTACAGCTTTTAGTTAAGCAGTGTTTTCTTTACGGACTCTGTGTGTGTGGCAAACAATCACACACTTTCTCGTTAATTTGAATTAGTTGAATGAAAAATCCCTTAGGGCACTATTCATTTCAGGAATTTATGCTGCAGGCTAAGGTGGATCATTGTGTGACTAAGTGGGTGTGTACTGTACCCAATTATTGGGACATGGTGGCAAAATGATTATGGCTTTTATTGTGGCAATTGTGGGATAAGTTCAAACTTCCCTGTGGATTCATACAAGAGTCTGCCCCCAGTCAATATGTACCTGGTGATATGGGCTACAGAGTGATAGGTGGCTGAATGTGATGCTAGCCACATTACTCACTTGTGCTGTTGGCTGCAGACACTGATGTGCCTTAGGTATGCTAGCTCAGTAAGCTGCTAGGCTCAGCTAGGCATTTGGCTATGACCGCCAGGGCCCTCCCAACATTTAAAGTACTTATCAGTATAGAAAGGCTTGTGCAATGGTGTGTAAGGGCCATGTTGCCTGGGACACTTAGCACTTATTAAATGTACTTGTCTGGACATTCAAGCAGGATAAAATGTGCTAAGTGCACTCCTATCATATCATATAATAGTGAAGTTATGCATGTTCCTGCCAGCTAGCCCTACACTGAAGCTCCCTTGTGCCCCAGCCAACCCCTATGTTGCACATTGAGCCACAGGGAGCAGCCTTGGGATGGCAGGCTGACTCCTGGGGCCCCACGCCAGCCAGGGCTGCTCTGCCTGGGCTGAACATGCTGTGCCTGAATAAACTGCAGAGCTTATTGCTCCTGAGTTAACTGCTCCAAGGCACATGTTCAAATGACACACCTAGGAGCAATTAACTCTGGAGCAATAAGCGTCACAGTTTATTTAGATGCCGTAATTGCACATTTAGGCACAGCCCCTGATTCTTACTTAATATCTCTCAGACATTCTGCAGAGGCTGAATACGTGTTCTCCATAAATTTGGACCACCTGGGGTATTCCTTTAGGGAGTCAAAGTTGACTCTTAGGGCATGTCCCAATAAGCGTACATGCAGTGGTCTGTCCGGGGTCAAATAGCAGTGGCACAAATATGTGTTGCTGCTATTTGTCCCTGGGCATGACCCCAAATGCATGCTCTGGTGTGCAGCAAATTGCCCTAGGTGGGGTAGCATCTGTGCTGGCCGTAGCAGCCTCAACTGGAGTCCTGGAGGCCTCCCAGGGCTGCAGTAGTCCTGAGCCAGCTGCTCAGAGCCTGGCCAGCAGCCAGAGCAAGGCTCTGGCCAGTCAGGCTCCGTTTCTGGCAATGCACTCCACTGCTATGTGCACCACACCACTTTTTTTAGCAGCTTTTTTTTTACAGGATCTCCCAGTGTGCACATGCAGGGGCATGCCCAGGGACAAATAGCAATGGCACAAATATGTATCCTATTTGTCCTTCAGGAAACACATGCCCCTGCCCTGGTGCACACATTAGGACATGCCCTTAGAGGCTCCATTAACTCTGATTAGTAAGCCATAAAATAAATACCCCTTCAACAGCAAAATCCTGGCCTGTGAAAGAGAAGCTACCTTGGCATTTCTGATAGGCACTGGCTTAGATGCAGTGCTTACTGCGTCCCAGTATCTCACTACTCGCTCCACTTCCAACATCAATATTGGAGCTGGCGTAATATCTAATATAATTCCAAATGTTGTAGCCACGTTTTTGAGACATGTCTCACTTTTAAAAGAAGGAAGTATGTGTTACTTGCTCTTGTGGGTGAGTCATTGCTTTTCAACACAACCAAAGCTTTTTTTAATCATAATTCTTGTCCTATTTGCACAAAATATAGGAGCATGCATTGCATTTTCCAATTTGCAGAATGCTGATTTCATTCACTTTCCGCAAGAGAAATTAATTACGTGACCCTCTTATAAAACCAATATCACTGATGTGTGGCTGCAGGAATGTGCAAGCTGTTATATTCCAATAGGCTAAACTAATGATTGGAGAAATCAGGCGCTACTCCACTGATCTTGGCAGAGTCCACATTTATTTATACCAGGGGTGCTCAGCCTCTGGCCCATGGGCCAAATCCAGTCCACAGGGCCATAAAATCCAGCCCATGGGGCTCTTCCACAGGTCGGAAAATTTGGTAGTGGGGAGAGGTGGAAACTCCACTTGGCCGGCTCTAGGCTCACTTGGGGCATTGAAGCGAAGTGGCATCAGGGCTGGGCTCTATCCCCACACATCCAAATTGGGCCAGATTGTATCCCCACTTGCCCATATGTCAGGATTGGGCCACTCTGTCCTTCCCTCCTTCCCCCCACTTCCATGTCCAGATTTCAGCTGCCCTGCCATGCCCCACCCCACTCATCCAGCCGACGATCAGCCCAAGATCAGATTGCTTCCCCTCCCCTCTTCAAAATGTGTCCAGATTGGGGCCACTCCACTCTTCCCCTCCCCACCTCATGCACCCAGTTCAGGGCCGCTCTGCACCCCACAGGGGACAGATCAAGGTAAGGCTGCACAAGCCCCCACAGCCAGATTGGTCCCATCAACTAGGGGAAGGACCTGGCACCATTAGTCCCTGATACCACCCATCCAGCCCACAGAGTGAAAAGTAAGGCTGTGCAAAATTTTGCTTGCTGTTTCGTTTCAACGCTGTTTCAACTCTTTTTGAAGTCAAAACAGGAAAATCAAAATGAAACGAAGGGCTTCAAAACAGCCTTGAAATGAAATGAGGGCAGTCAAAAGGTTTTAAAAGTTTTGAAATGTTTCACGTTTCGAAGCTGGGCTTGCTTGCAGCTAAAGAGAAACTAAGGAGAGAGAGGGGGAAGAGGGGGGATAGACTGCTCTGATATTGACATGTGTAGCTGACCAGTGACTGTACTCCTTCCCTGAGGTCCCTTCCAATCCCAGTGCTCTGGGGGAGGAATGGAAAAACAGCATAAAAAGCATTTTTTGAACTGAGCTTTCTCTGTCTTCACACTTACAAGTGACACAAGTTTTGTTCTGAACAGTTTGAGGTGCAGTTTCCCAGAAACCCCTGTACCTATCTCCTTGAAACTTGGCAGGCTTCATGGCCTCAGCAGGGGCTACCATCCCTGCAGTTGTCACCCCACTGTGCCTTAAAACACACAGTCACATGTCACAAGTTTTCCTTGTCAGCAGCCTGAGGTGCAGTTTCCCAGAAAACCCTGCACCTATCTCCTTGAACCATGGCAGGCTTCATGGCCGCAAAAGGGGCTACCACCCCTGCAAGTTTCATCTGAATCAGGCAAGAAATGAGAAAGTTATAGGCAGTTTCGTGCTTCCCCATTATAGCCTATGGGTGAAACTTCGAAACCGCGAAACAGTTTTGATGAAACGAAATGCAAAAGTGCTTTTGAAATGAAATGAAACTTGAAATGAAGCACTGTCCCATCAAAATGGTGAAATGCAAGTCAACACAAAACAGTGCTGTTTCGCACAGCCCTAGTGAAAAGGTTAGGCACCACTAATTTACACCAATGATGAAGGTAGGTTTAAGGCACTGGAAGGTAAGAACTTCCAGGTCACACATAAAAGTAGATACATAGTTTAATTGTGCCCTCTATTTCTTATATAGAGATACAATGTTATAAGCTCTACAGAGTAATTTATCTTGCAGGGCTGAACTACTGTATTTAAATTTCCCCTTTAAGGCCCAATTTAAAGTAAAAATACTTGTCTTGCCCTTTCAGCAATGTTAGCATGAATTATGGCAACACCGCCATCTTCTTAATAGAGTTTATTGTATTAGGTTTTTCTGCGTCAGCTCTGTATATCGCAAAATCCTGTCTGTCTAACAACATCAAAAGTAGTTTTAAGTTGATTTTTGATGGGTCAGAAAAACTGACATTTTTTAATGAAGAAATATTCCAAGGGAAAATTCTCAACCACATACACTCGGCAGGCAGCTGATTACCAGCAAACAAATATCTGTATTTCTTCTCATATCAATAGAATAAATGAAAATTTATAGCAATAGATGCTGTGGTAAAACCTAAAGAGGAATGTGGAAAGGAAGTTTTAAATTTCATTTCCACTGATTTTATTAAATTATTTTAACATGAAAAGCTTTAACTGCTGTTGAACATTTCAGGGGGGAAAACAAGCAAACTTATAAGACTCTCCTCTGAGGCAGAAAGGTGTGGCAAAATTCAAAACTGATAGAACATCTTAAGAAAATTCAAGCACACTCTTAGTTTTATGAATGAAAGCTTTATAGGTTCCTAGAAATGAGTCACAAAAACTAAAATGAAAAACAATGTTGACAGGTGAGACAGGATCAAAAGCATTTAGTTTTGAGGGGGGCCTTTGTACCTTTATCACAGGAATTTTTTAGATATTTTGATTGCATTTTTGAAGTTCAAAACATTCAAAACAAGTTTTTGGGGTTTTTTTGATGAAAGACATGGTGATTGGCTCTACTGGAGATCTGTATTGATATACTTGATTATCTGTGAACACGTATTTTAGGAAATTAATTTTATTATTAGAAGGGAGGTGAAAGGTATCTTATGTTTTATGCTGCAGTTAACATACTTTGCAGTTTTGTATTTTCATTTGTATTACTGTATTATATCATGTAATTCAATTTGTTTGTTTAAAACTGTAACTTATGTATTTTTTAAAAGATGATGACTCAGTTGTTCATGTATTTATGATAAGCTTTTAATGTTTTGTCTAAGTGCAGATGCCACGTACAATAATTGCAGTGGTTGCCAGTATTTTTCTCGTTGCAATATATTTTTTTTCATGCTAAAACTCATGACTCAGATAGTACCTCAAGGCAGGTGAGCTGGGATGGAGAGAAGTAGGTGTTATGGCAAAGTGAAAGGTTCTTTTGGCCCTGCAAGACAAAGATGTTCACAGCAGAAAAATTGTACAATAGTCAGCATGTGTTTTAATGGAATTAAGTGTGACTGTGGTGGAAATTGGAAAAGGAAAAAGGATCTCTCAACAATTTCCTAGAGAAATCATTATGCTGTAGAAGACTAAGTATGCTAAATTAGAGAATGCTTTTTAAAGATTCCATATTATAAGGTACCATTTTCCCCTCTACAGAAGGAAAAAAAATGCTCAGATTTCAGATATGGAAAAGAACTTGTGTATCTCAGCTATCTGATGTCTACGTACTCAGCATTCATGTTGTACTTACACAAAAACCAGAAGCCAAGAATTCTCAGGCATTTAAGCTACAAAAGCCCCTATCTACTCCTTTCCTGCCTATTTTTTGCCTTTTACATTGTGGAAGTATGGAGAAAGGATTGTCTCAAATCTCCTGCCAAACCTTCCTCCTCTAGCATGAAAGATAAAACCAAGGAAAAGGTGAAGAATAGGCAAAGAAGAGGGTGAAGCTCAAATGGAATAACATGAAAAGCCATCTCGCCAATGCCTTCAGTCCCTCTCTTAAGAACAGCAGCCTTGTCCAGAACAAAAGTCGGTCCACCTTACTCTTCTAAGGGCTCCAAAACTAACTTCTCAGAGAGACTGTCAGAGGGCACATCTACACAAAACATTTATTGGGGAGTTGCCTTTATTAACTGTGCAGTAAATATCTCAGCATCTACACATGTGCCCCTATTAGGGTGCACAAAACTACTGAACTCCACAGCAGTGTAGTCTTTTAAAATACAAGTCCTACCCTTCTGCAGAGATTTTCATGCACAGCAGTACACATGTAGATGCTGCCCTGCCTGGCTGAGGCACAGGGTGCTTCAGGGAGGGGCTAGCTGGCAGGCAGCTCTGTGCTGAGGCACACTGTGTCCCAGCCAACTGCAGAGTGGCACATGGAGATGTGGGGGAGCAGCAAGCCCAGGGCTGCTCCCCCACCCCTGCATCCTGAGAAGCCCCCATGCTGAGGCACGCTGCACCCCAGCCATCCACAGAATGGCATATGGAGTCAGGGGAGCATGCAATCCAGAGCTGCTCCCCTATCTCTGCACTCTGCAGAACCCATGTACAGATGGAGGAGCACCCAGCCCTGAGCTTTCTGCTCCCTCATCTCCACATACTGCCTTGTGGCTGGCTGGGGTGCAGTGTGCCTCAGCGTGGGGACTGCCTGCTGACTAGCCCCCCAATGAAGCACCCTGTGCCCAAGCCAGCCACTTCCTCCCCCCACGGCACATAGAGCCAGGTCAGAGCAGCCCTGAGCTGGCAGACTGATCCCCTGGGTCCCCTGCCAGCCTGGACTGCTCTGACAATTTGCTCTGGAGTATTTTGCTCCCTTGTGCACCCTTTGAACATGCACCTGGGAGCAAAATACTCCAGAGCAGTAAGCTCCAGAGTTTATTTGACCACTTTAATTGCAGGTGTAGGCACACCCAGCAAGTAGGAGTGGATTCCTTTTCTAGGCCAGAATTGCTGCCAAAGTATTAGTGACCTATTCCCACATTTAATTTACTAATGGAATGTATGAGAGCAAAAAGCTAGACTTGACCAACAGATGCCTAAAGAACATGGACCTCAGAGTCCATGGGACAACACTTTTTCTCCTCCACCCTATTCTCCTGTTCTCAGTTACTGCCAGTTCTCCTCTTTTTATGGACAATCCTTTCATTTTTTTCAGGCCCTCAACTGTTCTTTCCACTCTTCTCACAGGGAATTTTCCCTGCAGGCTCCTTTTTCCATTCCATCTGCAACCTACCTAACCAAATTGTAGGAAAGAATGGCTCAGATTAAAATGGTTTTTACTCGCATTTTTTTTTATTTCTTATTTACATTGTTTTATTTTGTATTTTTTTCCAGTCCATAATCTTCATTCGTGACCGAAATTCTCGTGGTCAGGAGGTATCAGCATATATTGACTATGCACACAGGCTGAAGACTGATGAATTTGAAGTGTATTTTAATGGAAAGAAAAAACTTCTTCCAAGACACACGGATCTGAGGTTTTTAACCTGATTTTCTTTTTTTACATTCTGCATTTATGAAACATGTATAGTTAAATATAATTACATATGAAAATAGTTCATAAAAATGCTCTTCAATAAAAGGTAAATGGTGTGAGTCAGACACTGTCCCCAGATTCAAAATCAAATCTCAAGAATGATCCAGGTAATTTGAATGGAAATACTTTTGATTTATTCAAGTTGCTTCTAAGAGCAGAATTTTATGTGAATAATGCAAATGGAATGTGTAAATATGATGTCATTTTCCAGGTAGAACTAAATATTTAGGGTCAAATTTTCAAAAGCATCTAGTAGTAGCCCAATTGTAATTCCAAAGATATTGTGGAAATTGTACTTGTTTCATATTTCTTGAGCTATGTTACAGGTCCTTGCAAATTTCACCTCCCTATGGAGTCTAAAAAACTGGGTGTGCATAAGACTACATGGGCAAACACTTTGAATCTGTCATGCTAAAAACTTTCTATTGAACATTGTCAAGAAGGTCCTTAATGTCAAGGACAGAAGCCCTCTATGTCAAGCTACACGTCCCTCCAAATTGACATTGGCACCCAGGAGGGATGACTGGAGTTTCTCTGGGTCAAAATACATGGGGAATGTGGCTCAGGGGACATCATGGTAGGAGTCTACTACAGACCTCCTAACCAGAAACAAGAGCAGGACCAGGAATTGGCTGAGGCTGCACGCTCTCGGTGCATGGTTGTCATGGGAGACCAACTACCCGGACATCTCATGGGAAGAGCACTCAGCCAAATCTGATCAGTCACAAAGCTTCCTCATGTGTGTGGATGAGCTCTACCTGACTCAAGAAGTCTATGGGCCGATGAGAGGTAAAATATTGTTGGACCTGGTACTGGCCAAAGGGGATGACATAGTCAGTGACCTAAGAATTGATGGAAAGCTGGGTATTAGTGACCACGAACTGATCACCTTTATTATCCATTGCACAGCTGGCAAGTCAGTCAGCAATACTGAAGTCCTTGACTTCAGGAAAGCTGACTTTGACAAGCTCAGGAGGCTCATTGTTGAGGCCCTAAAGGACCATGACTTGACAGGAAGAGGAGTCCAAGAGGAATGGTTGCTCCTCAAGGGAGTGATCCTGACAGCACAAGGAATGGTCATCTCATCTTGGAGGAAGGGTAGCAAAAGGGTGCAGCAACGCACTTGGCTCAGCAGGGAATTCAAGGACCTCCTATGCCTCAAAAGAGAGACTTATAAAGGATGGAAGGATGGAATTACCACCAAGGAGGATTACTCAGCACTGGTCCATACCTGCAGGGAGCGGATCAGGAAGGCAAAGGCTGCAAACAAGCTCCATCTGGCTTCACATATCAAGAATAACAAAAAGTCCTTTTTCAGATATGTAGGGAGTCGGAAAACTGGTAAGATTCTCGAGAAAATTATCAAGGAGACCCTTCTGGGTAAGCTGGCTGAGGGCAACATCCTGAGGGATAGCCAGCATGGGTTTGTTGTGCGTAGGCCTTGCCTAACCAATCTCATCTTCTTCTATGATCAGGTGACATATCACCTGGACAAGGGAGAAGAGATTGATGTCTTATACCTGGACTTAAAAAAGCCTTTGATCTGGTGTCCCATGACCTCCTCATGGAAAAATTGGCCAGCTGTGGCCTTGGCTACACCACAGTCCAATGGCTGGGAAACTGGCTCCAAGGTCGGACCCAGAGAGTAGTGGTTGATGGCAGCAAGTCATTATGGTGTTCCATAACCAGTGGCATCCCCCAAGGCTCTGTGCTTGGACCGGTTCTCTTCAATATCTTTATCAATGATGTGGACACTGGTGTCAGAAGCGCACTGGCTAAGTTTGCCAATGACACTAAACTTTGGGGCATAGCGTCCACACTTGAGGACAGGCTAGTGATCCAGCTTGACTTGGATAAGCTTAGTAAGTGGGCAGACACAAACCTGATTGCGTTCAGTACTGCTAAATGCAAAGTACTCCACCTCAGGAAAAAAAAACCCACAGTATACTTATAGGCTCGGCAGTGCTACGCTTGCTAGCACCACTGCTGAAAGAGACTTGGGGGTCATGACTGACCACAAGATGAACATGAACCACCAATGCGATGTCACAGCTGGTAAAGCAAACAAAACCCTGGCTTGCATCTATAGATGCTTCTCTAATAAATGAAGAGAGGCTGAGAGCCATTGGACTCTTCAACCTGCAAAAACGCAGGCTCAGGGGGGACGTGGTGGCTGCCTATAACTACACAAGGGGTGTTCATCAGGATCTGGGAGAACGTCTGTTCACCAGAGCGCCCCAAGGAAAAACAAGGACTAACGGTCATAAAGTCCTACAAGATCGTTTTAGGCTGGACATAAGAAAAAATGTCTTTACTGGCCGAGCCCCCAAGACCTGGAATAGACTCCCTCCATATGTGGTACAGGCACCTACTCTGGATTTATTCAAGAAACACTTAGGTGCTTACCTTGCTGGGGTCCTTTGACCCTAGCTGACTCCCTGCCCCTGGGGCAGGGGGCTGGACACGATGATCTTCAAGGTCCCTTGCAGCCCTAACATCTATGAAATCTATGAAATTAAGGTCCCATGATCCTCCCACTCTCTTTGGTATACATGGGGCTTCTCGTTATCATGGTTTACCTTGAAAACTTGTCTCAAATGAAAGGCTCTTAAGGCCCCCTTTACACGTGTAGGTAAAGGCGTGATGGAATCTGTTGCATGATCCGCACAATCACATCTCCTGCCCTGCCGCATGTACAGGAAACATGATTGTGGGATTGCAAATCAGATTCCATAGAATCATAGAAAATTAAGGTTGGAAGGGACCTCAGGAGGCCATCTAGTGCAACACCTTGCTGAAAGTAGGACCATCCCCAACTAGATCATCCCAGCTAAGACTTTGTGTCCCTGTGTCTTCAAAACGTCCAAGGATAGAGATTCCACAACCTCTCTGGGTAACCTGTTCCTGTGCTTTACTACCCTCCTAATAAGAAAGTTTTTCCTAATATCTAATCTAAACTTCCCTTGCTGTAACTTGAGACCGTTTCTCCTTGTTCTGTCATCTGACAACACTGAGAACCATCACACCTTATTGCCAGTGCAGGGGGAACACAATATAATAGTGTTTTGATTCCAGTAAGGACATGGGACAATGTATAGCAAAATGGAACCCTGAATTTGATTGGACCCTGTATGTGCTACCATCCTGCAAGAAAGAAAGAAAGAATACCTTTGGCAATTTGGGATAGATGACAAAGAACATTTACTACAGACCACATTTCATACATTTATTTTACAAATCGTTAAACATGATAACTTTGCTTCACTTTGTAAAAACTAGGCATTGTGAACAATTCTAACAGTAATGTTACACAAGATTATTGCCTCCTAATAAGAACTAGGAATAAAATATATTGCCTATAAGGGAGCTTGAACAGTTTTAGTATCAACAGTGACCACATTAATATTTTTGCAATGGACATACCAATGCCACAGAAACAAAACATGACCCCCATATGCAAGTGTGTGATTATGTTTCTGTGTGCAGTCAGTGATGGTGAATTTTCCTGCTGTTCATTTACTGGATGCAGTTAAACATGCTGCAGTTCCCTTTCTTTACACCAGAAGGGGTCAAAGTGCCTGTTTTAACCGTTTTGCTCCAAGAGGATGATGACTGTATTTGTTGATACTAACCACTTTATTATTGGAAACTATAGTGGATACAATGTTGTGTCTACAGAGTATGCTAAAGTTCATTAGTAGATTGATACTAGGTAGGGCTATGCAAAATTTCGCTTGCTGTTTCATTTTGAAGCTGTTTCGATGTATTTTGAGCTCGAAACAGCAAAATCAAAATGAAACAAAAGGCTTTGAAACAGTTTTGAAACAAAACGAGGGCACTCGAAATGTTTCAAAAGTTTTGAAACATTTTGAGTTTCGAAGCCAGGCTTACTTGGCTTCAGCGCTGGTCCCAGCCAGCAGCAGCAGCCTGCTGTCATCCGGCTGACAGATCAGGGCCCGCCTGCACCCCGAGGAGGGCTGTGGGGCTGTGCTGGACTCGTCCTGGGGGTGCAAGCCCCCAATCTGCCTGCTGGGCAGTGGGGCCAGTGGCAGCAGCAGTCTTCCCAGTGCTGGGCACGGCCTGCGTCCCAGGCAGCAGTGGCACCTTCCTATCATCCCACACACAGATCCGGGGGCCCGCACCCCCAGGAGGAGTCTTGCACAGCCCTGCAGCCTTCCTGGGGGTGTAAACCCCCAGATCTGCATGCAGAATGACAGGAGGCTGCTGCTGCTGCCTGGGGCCAGTGACAGCAACAATTTTCCTGGCACTAGGCACAGGCTGTGCCCAGCACCAGTCCCAGGCGGCAGTGCCAGCATGTTGTCATCAGGTGTGCAGATCCGGAGGGACCATGCCCCCCAGGAGGGCTGTGGGGCTGTGCCAGACTCTTCCCAGGGGGCACGGACCCCCAGATCTGTGCATGGGATGGAAGCAGGCTGCTGTTAAAACCAAGCAAACCTGGCTTCGAAACTTGAAACATTTCAAAACTTCCAAAATATTTTGAGTGCACTTGTTTCGTTTTAAAGCTGTTTTTAAGCCTTTTGTTTCATTTCAATTTCACTGTTTCAAGCTTGAAACATGTTGAAACAGCTTTGAAACGAAACACCTAGAGAAATTTTGCACAGCCCTAATTGATACACAGCCTTCTTAAATCACCCTTACAGTGTTCAGAGACACAGCATTCACCTTTGATACACAGCAGTTCAGTTTAGTCCTGCTTGTTCTGTATTTAAGTGTGCAGGCTGCCTCATTTAGTGTATGCCTCAACTTCTGTTTTCATGCTATGAGTTAGAGTAGTTGAAGGCAGTTCATGAACAACTCTATTAATTTCCATCACCGTGGCCAATAGCACAACAGATTCCTTTCTGTATTATAATGGCTCTGTTTTTAACTTGGACTTAATTATAGTTGTGCATGCTATGTCATGATTAGAATTACCCCACA